CCCTAACCCTAAACCCTGAAAAAAATCGTCCAAAACGAAGTAGTTCCGCGGGCCATTTTTAGACCCTTAAAATTACGAGTGCCGCGCCTGCCAGTGTTTTTGAGGCCGCTCACACGCGATAACCCAAGTAGTAGTAGTAGTAGTAGTAGTAGTAGTAGTAGACCCCAAGATCATCTTCCAATTATTGAGGCCCAATCTCCCTGAGGTTAAGATCCTTACGCGACTGGATCGGCCCTTGCCAGCAGAGTGCCTTCGGAGCGTGGAGAGTCTCTCTGCTCTGGCGCACCTTCCAGTGACACGTGTTGGAGTTTGGGTTCGAGGGTTCAGGGCTTACGCCTAAGGATAGGGTTTAGGCTTTAGGGTTTAGGCTTTAGGGTTTAGGGTTCAGTCAGGGCTTAGGGTTTCGGATTTGCGGCTTAAGGGATGGTATCAGATGGGTAGTTCCAAGCTGGCACCCCCGTGTAAGGCTCAAAAAAGGGGTACCCTTTGGGCGTAGAAGTCTTTGCCCTAAGCAATTTCGTGTTCTCTGAATTCCTTGCAGTCTTGGCCAAAGTATGGGTGGAACCCCTAGGGTCTTAACCACATGGATTGTGATGTTTGTCCCAGCTATGCTTGCCATTGCCTCCTACTCCTACACACGCTACTACGACAACGACTCGTACTCCTACACCTGCCACCGCCCCCATTTTTCCTCCTGCTCCTACCCGTTCTCTTCGCACACTCCCTGCTCCTCCTACCACCGTTGCTACCTCTACTTCTTCTTCTTCCAGTATTACGATGGCCAGGGCGGCTTAATTTGCAGGGTTATCCTCCTATCAGACACGTACTGCCACTTGGTATTGCCTTACTTCGAACAGCAAGTAAGACCGCAAGTAGCTGGCATGATGATCCCAAGTTTTGTGGGGATGCAGGTGCTCCACTCGACCGAAGTCCTTGGCTTCCCATCCCTTTTTACGGCAGGGCCCCTGGCGGCCTCTTGACGACGTGGGGTTTGAAGTTCTGCATTGATACTTGAGGGTTAATGATTGAAAGTGAGAGGTTTAGGGACAGATCATTTGGGGCTCTTGGGGATTACAGCTTACACATACTGGCCAAGGCTTTGCGATTCGTCCAGATTGTTGACAGCCCCCACCTGAACTTCGACATGCTCCTGGGGACCTTTGCGACTCCATGCCCGACGGGCGTCCACGTGCAGCATCTTCAGGCTCGGCAATCTGCCTTTTTAACGTGGAAAACCAACTAACTGACAGGTGGATAATGTTATATATTATGAATATATGAAGCCCTTAATAATATGACGCGTATTATAGACTGTTACTGGGTGGAGGCAGTACCCGACGTTTACGGTCCTTTGCAGTGTTGAGATCGCTCGTAGCGATGCTGCTGCTGGTGCTAGACTAGGATGCCGTACTATCGGTCTTTTACTGTGCTACCTCGCTGGTTCTTAGTAGGGAATAAGGGAATACATTATATCATATAGGGATCCTATAGGGATTGTATTCCCATATTCCTTACTATGAACCGGTAAGTTATTTTCAGCAGCACCAGGCTTCTTCCCAATGCCAACGTGACAGGTGGCCCCCAGTTCTGACGAGCCGCAGGACCGTCACTGGAGCCAGTGGGTTCAGCCATTGGCGGACCTGCTCCAAAGCCTTGCGCTTAGTTGCTGGATCTTACTGCTTCTTAGGAATATGGGAATATAAGCGCGAAATCACCATATAATCCCTATATAATATATTCCCTACTACCACTGAGAACCAGTAAGGAAGGCAGTGTGGCGAACCCGGGCATTCTCAGCATCATCAGATTGCTGAAGTAGACGTTTGCAGGAGAGACGGGCGATGAAAAGCTCCAATCGTGTGAGAATGGTACTGTAGACCCGCGATAAACGCAAATGGCTCCTAGCATTGTGATCCTTAAGCCTTAAGCGGCATGGTTTTGTTTACCAAGGGTTGCATGAAGCCCTCATCATTTACCCGTCATCAATCTTTCTATCATCCTACAGAACCCGCAATGTAATCGTTGTACATTTTAACCTCTTTGACGCTACCCCTAATTTGCAGACATTCTTAAACCTTCAACCCTAAACTCCAGATTGGAGCCTTGCTCGCTGAGATATCTGGGTCAAAATGGGTGCTTTCAAAAAGCCTTAGCCCAATTGAATCTTTAAGGTCCGCAACGGCGGCGCTAAACCCTAGACTTTAAACCCTGCACTCTAAATCCTAAACCCTAAACCCTAGATGCCAAGGTCCGGCAATGGCGGCCCTAGTGCAGCTGGATGTTCCTGTGCCCTCCTACTCGGTGACAGCCGCGGAAACTGCTCGGGCCTTCCTGGAGCGTCTCCAGGCCAAGAGGGGTTCAGGGTTTTCAATGCTTTAGGAATTAGGATTTAGGGTTTAGGGCTTAGGATTTAGGGCTAGGGTTTAGGGCTTAAGGTTTAGGGTTCAGAGTTAGGGTTCAGGGTTTGGGTTCAGGGATGCGGGTCTAGGGGTTGAGTTCTAGGGTTAGGGGGTTTAGGGTTCAGGGGTGAAGGTTTAGGGTTTCAAGGCATGGGGTAAACGGGTTTAGGGTTCAGGGCTTCGATAATGAAATGCTGTCACAAGTATGATGGCTGCTGCACTTAGAGACAGGCCGTATTCCCATGACTCTTAGTACATGTAACTTCGCACTTATTTTGTCAGTCTTTTTGTAGGCAGTACCATTGTCATCATTTGCGCTGCTGCAGCAGCAGCAGCAGCATAGCAATGTCTTTTCCGGTCTCTCCAAAAACAACTTCAATGTTGCTGACGTGAAATGCAGGCGCTTGCATCGTAATGGGGAGGGAGAGTACAGTAGGCATTGAGATTAAATGGTAGTGACTGGAAAAGCATTTGCAGCATTCAGAATCATGCGAATGTCAGAAATCGCCATTAGGGCTACTATGCCTTAATATGCATTTCAGAATCCGACAGTAGGATCTAAAGTTGAAGCTGCCAGATTTCTTTTGGCCATTGGAACCCAGGAAGTGACTCGAGTAGGACAATTTCCTGTAAATTCTCCTATCACACATGGGAGCTTCTCGAACTCTCCCTAGAAAAGCCTGGTAAGGATATCCACATGATCCCCTTCTTTGGGTCCGCCTTCTGAGAAGCTCTCACATTCCTTCCATGCAGGACCGACGGTTACCTCAGGACCTCGTCCGACTCCATTTCCTGCCGTACAAGAAACAGTGTCCGCCGGCAGGGTTAGGCATTAGAGATTTAGGGTTTGGGGCAGCTCCCAAAAGTGGGATCCATTTCCTTACCCCCCAAATACTCTAAGTGTTGCTTTCTGAGCATAGCGTACAGGTTTCGTGCAGGTTTAGACCGCGACTGCAGCAATGGCAGTGAGCTGGATGCTGTAGTATGCCCAGACGACCTCAAGACTAACGAGTGGGCATGACTCTACAAGTAGTCTATAAAGCTTAAGGTGGCCGGTTGGGATGGTTCTGACTTTCCCTTGTGGCTGTTGGTGGACCTACTCCTAAACTATTTTGGGAGCCTTCAAAGTACTGCCCGCAATGCGCGCAGCAACGTGCTTAGAGGTGATGCATTCGTCAACCGCACACATTTCGGCCAAATGGAGACGGTGATGGAGATTCAGGAGGGAGTTTCACAAACTAGCCCTTACAGAAAGTCTACAAGGACCCTCTCAATCCTCTAATTCCCATAGCCCTTGGTCTCCTAAAGTCTCCTGATTTTTGAGAAATCCCAGCAGGACATTCTGGGCAAGTTCAGGCAAGCTTGGCCATTCCTAGAAGTCCGATTTCCTGGTGTGGACAGCCCCCCAGAAGATGTGGACTAGCTGTGACGCATCCAGCCTGTTGATGCCAACTCGGACATGCAGCTTTGCCCCTTACGTTGTGGCCGATGCTCGACTCCGTCTACACGCTGGGTTCCGACAGTAGCTGCGGTTGGTCCTTCGGTCATCCTCCGCATGAGGTGAACAGGAAGTCGGCCGCTACGGTGAGAGTCCGCTGCTTCAGGGACCAGCAAGTGGCAAATTCGGACCCAAAAAGCCGAGTGCAACCCAATGTTGCACAGTGACTTGAGCGCTGCTGGTGTTGGGATCTGCTAGCGATGTGCCAGAAACGTCTGATTTTTCTTATCCCAGGTGGCTGAAATAAAGCAGGAGGCTGAGGACCCACTAGCCATGCCATGCTCTTGCAGCTCGAGCTTGACGAAGTTTTGTATTCTATTTGTACTAATTTGTACTGAAGTTGGTTGCAGTTTATGTTGATGAGACATCATTCCCAGTGTGCACGCAGGAGCTGATTCGGTGGCTGGATCCCAGCTACGCCCATCCTGCGTCTACACCTATGGCCTTTCAGTGGGCACAGGGCTCAGGACACTTCGCTTGCAGGTAGAGGAATTTGTGCATCCCTTACCTTCCCAGCAGAGATGCATCTGGAGTCCCAGTAATAGTAGTAGTAGTAATCGTACTAGTAAGAGCAGTGAAAATTGCTCTTGTGGGGGCTGGAAGAAGCCCATGGACGTCAGCTGTTCGTGCCAGTGTTGGATTTCAGCACTTGCCTTCATCCGTGACGCTTAACGAGGCCCAAAACGCCTCTGCACCGCACTGAGACGACCATTGCCTTCGCTGCACCAGGGTGTCCAGCTCTTGCAACTCACAATGCCTAGAACGTTTGCAACATTGAGGCTGTGATGTTAGCAGCGCGGTTTTCGCACAAGTGGGAGGCCCATGGACTTGTTTCTCACAGACTGAAATCGATTGCTATCAACACATGTGCTTTTCGGTCATGGTGGCGTTGTGTGAATGAAGTGTAGTGTAGGGCATGTGAGCTATGGTCTAAGCTCCTATTAAAGTGGGTTATCTAAGGGATTATATAGGGGAGTATTACAGGAGTTACTAAGGGGGATACTTGGAGTTTAGGCTATAAATCATGTGGTTATCACAGGAATCCAACAAAACATTCCGCAGTCTCTTTTGGGCTGCTTAGATGGAACGTGATGGGTTTCTTATTGCTGCAATGTGGGAGTGTGTCTGTGTCCATCACATTTACAGGTGTTGGGTCTGTGATTATTACTCTTGTTATTTGTATGCTTATTGTTTTTGCATCATTACTGCTGTTTCTATGATTAGAATTCCTATTCTTATCATGATCATGTAAGGGTCGACTTTGTGTTTAAGCCTCGGCCCGCTCGGATCTTGTTCTCCATCTTGGTGTTCTTGCGACAATTGTTGTAAGCATTCTGGGCCGCAATCACTACACATAATCTTGTATCACTCATAGGAATTCATGTTTGAGGGGGCCCCTAAACCTATCCCAGTTGGCAGCTGCATCTTGCTTGCGATTGCTTCCGCCTCGAGGTAGAAGCACGTTTTGCATTTGATGGCGTTTTCACACAATTAAGATCTCTTTCTGGCAGTCTGTATAACTCTCCTTTATTACTCGCCTGGTTTTAGAAACACCGAATCTCCAGTTGGGAAAACACTTCCTCAAGCTCAAAGACTAAACTTAGACTCAGTGCATAAACCCCTCTGGTGACATCAAGACCTTTTTCCAGCCTAAACCCTAAACCCTTAAACCCTATAGGCGCCTGGGGCCAACTTGGCAGTCTACTCCACTGAGAAGGGCCAGGGCCATGTCAACAAGGACCTTTGGGGGGGGTGGGGGAGCGGGCGGGTTATAGTTTTTTTAAACTTGCTTAAGGGTTTTATCAAGCGTGTTTTAGGGTTTAGGGTTATTAGGGTTTCCCAAAAGTAGGGGTAATATGTAGTGGGAAGGGGTCGGAGGTAGGATAACGAGCACTTTATCACTGCATGTGCACTCTGTAGAGCATCTGCGGCACGAGGAAAACTACACTAAGGAGCCGTACCGGAAGTCCCCTGTACCGTTTCCTTACGGAGGAATTCAAAATTCGTGCCTGAACTCTACATCCAAAGCCCTAAAGGCCCTGAATCCTAAGCCCTAAAGCCTAAAACCCAAAGCCTGTATCCCAAAGCCTGTACCCCAAAGCTTGTACCCCAAAGCCTGTGCCCCTAAAGACCCAGGAGCGCACCGCCGAATCGGTTCGGCGGCTGCTTTCCGTGAATATCTCCGCATCCCGCATCGAAGCGGAGATCCTGGCAAAGGTCTGGAAGTTTCCTGGAGTGGCATGTTACTTTGAGCATTACCATGGCGGCTAGTGATTCGTATTTCGTTGGTCAATATTGCGCTCAGTAATATAACGGGCATTTCAGTTCTCATGTTTACTAGTATTATGACCATTACCGTTATTATTACTACTACTCGTCTTATGAAGATTCTTCTTCTTATTATTACTACTACTCTGACGCTGGTCATCACCATTAGTTATTTGTTCTGGATTGCAAGTCGGAAAAAGGAAATGCGAAAAACCAACTGGGGCCACCAGTGTGATGTTTGCTGTACTCCATTATTCTGACCATCACTATTACGGATGTTCTTATCTTTGTCGTTTTGTCTGAGATTGGGGACTGAATGACTGGACACTGGGATGCAGACACTGAAGACCTGGGTTGCCAGGGCCTATTTGTCTCAATAGCCTGGCACCAGGTAGTAGTTCTAGGCTCTGTAATATGGCGATTTACCCCCAATAATGGAGAATCAAATGGACAAGAAGATGGAAAATTAAGTGGAAACTGGGGTTATGTAGGGGCTTATGTGAGCTACTGTCAATATTCGCCATATTAAGGAACCCAAAACATCGGACATAGAGGCCCATTGTAGTTCAGTATGGTCCTTAATATATTGCCTAATGAGGAACCCTTGTCTATCAAATTATGTAGGAAATGTTGATTGTAGCTCATCTATGTATTAGGGAGTTCGGAGTCTAAGAAGGATCAGCATTTTTCATTGAGTTAGGGCTGGGGCTTTGCCGTCTTGGCAGTTTGTTCTTTGGGCTATCCAGTACGTCAAAGGTGTGTTGCTCAGGCATTCACATGTCATGACAGCTGGGGGAACTGGACTTGGACTGATTGCGGCATTGGCTCCACGCCGCTAATCGTCTATTCGGACTGAGTACTGGGCTAGGAGCATCAAACAGCTCACAGTCAATTGCGCGCTTCCGGATGCTTTGACTGTAGCGGTGGCCAGCAGAATGAGTGAAGCGACAGCACAACTTGGCATGCTAAGCGTCTTGCCCATGTCAACATTACATGTTCGCCATTGTTCGCTCGGTTCCCAATCTTTGGGAAGATCAGGTATGTAAATATGGTCGAACAGAAAATGTGCACAGTCATCCCTATGACCACCCTTGATGCAGACTGTGGGGTTGGATACCTTGCTGGGGGGACAGTCGGGCGTTAAAAAAAAACACTTCCTTGAACCTCTTACTGAGGGTGTGGGTACCCGGTAGTCAACGGGTCCCGTTTGTACCTGTCGGGTCTCTGAAGCGTCGGCGGTTGACTTTTCTGTATGCGGCGGCAAGGTGCAGAACAGCCGAAAGCGTTTCACGCTGGACCTGACGCTTTTCGACGAGACCATCCCCCATGCCTCAGGAGCATTTGCATGCAGTGCTACCATGAGCGGATTTGAGACTACTCTAAGGGGTGGCTAGTAGGGAATTTGGGAATGTAATCACTATATATCACTATATAGTCCGTGTATGATGTATTCGGGGGTGCGTAAGACGACATTAGGGTAAGAGCGCACGTATGACCCCAGCAGAACTCTTCTCAATCCTTACCCAGAAACCCCAAAACCTCTGAATTAGGGAATATACCCTACATGATACTAGGATCAATATCAATTAATTTGAACATCCCCTAATAAGGGATATGGGGCCATTTGGACCCTACATGATACTAGGATCCCTACCATATATGTTCAAGTAAATTCCCTAATAAGGGATATTGATATCGGGCTCTCTGGGTATATGGTGCTTATGAAGCACGACATTGTTACCTCGAACTTGCTCGCCACGAACTTGAGTGTCGCACGAACCCACAAACCTAAACCCACTGGTGGTTGCAGGGAGTAGAGAATAAGGTAGTACATGCATATTTATAGGGGTTGTTATGTCAGCGGTTATATAGATATAAAGGGATTATATGCTCTTGTTCCGTACCAAGCACCGGTAACGAACCCCACACACCAAAAAAGCAACGTCTTCTCGCTTTGCGGTCTGTCAGGCTGGGTGGTGGAGTTTCGAAAAGCGTGGCTTGCCTGAGCCAGGACATGCGCAATTCTGAAAATCAAGCTGCTCTTCTTAAAGGGATAATGTAGGCGATACGCACCAAGTAGATTACAGGACTAAAGTTGAGCTAGCAAGGATTGTTCAAGTGTCTGGAGGTGTGTGCGCGTGTGCACCAATAGAACATGCATTTGTCAATAGCTCTGGAAAGTACCCAGAGCTTCGGAGAAAGCTTCGTGTGAACAGTCTACAGAACGAGGCCCCGCAAAAACGAAAGCAGCCTTTGGCCATTAGTTAAGTTGGCATTTCTCGGAGTCATATTTTGGGCCTCTACATGTCACGTGCCATCCTCGCTCGATCTTTTGTGTGAGATTCTTTCAGAGCAGAATCCTCAGCCAAAGGCTTTGAACCCCACAGCCTAAGCCCTGCAAAGCATTTCATTTTCGAGATCGCCCTTTGTTCATCTACAATGCTGGTGGACCCATCCGTATGTGCTCACGTGAAAGGTTATGCTATTTTCATGCCAACATAGTCGCCTTCACCCTTGGTATTCTCTCCAGGTGAAGACTTTTGATCTACCGCTCGGAGCTTGCACTTGCAGCACTTTTCATAATCGTTAAAAAAACCTTGAGGCCATTGGTGTAGACCCTGGCTGTCATCAGGCCTGCACCAGGACGCAGCAAAACAGTACATAGAACGAACAAACTCCTATTAGTTTGCTTGTTTCGAGTAGGATGCAGGCAGGTTCGAACATCGCTCCTGCGCTGAGGCGCGGGAGTATGCAGATGAGCCGCGGCGCTGAAATCCCGGAGCTCCACTTTCATGCACCCTGGCAAGACAGGTCAGTACCAGCACATTTTCCAAAGAGTCCTGGTATCTGCCTCCAAGCTTCTTACTTGGCTCTTCTGCCCTAGGCAAAAGGACTGCTCATTGCAGGAGATTCAAAGGTGCTGATCTGCTTGAAGCTCTTCTTTCTGTTAGTACATCACGGGTTCCTCTACTACTCCCTCTACACTAGCCCCTGAGGTTCCCCCTTAAGTAGCCTTGAGGAGGTTGGGTCGTATAATGAGGGGGGGGTGGCGTTAAGGGAGCCCATTTTACCATTTGAGCCTGAAGCCTTTGTCGTGAATTTCAAACTTGGACAAAATGGTGGTTCTACACATAGGGGGAACCCATGTGACCCAACATGCTTTCATCTGCATGATGAGGACCCCCAGAAAGAAACCCGTAACTTTTGGACCAAATCACTTACCAAAGCCAACAGAGCCTGTAGCCATCACATCCGATGCTCAGTTGCGGAAGCGGTGGCCGTCCTACGACAGCGCCTGGCTGCTTTGCCTGCAAAAGCTGCAGCTGAAACACATAACATAAAGGCCTATGTAAGTACCAATATTGGGGTCCTAGATTCGCTGTATAGTTAAGGCATAGGGTACATCAAAAAAAGTCAGAATGAGATCCGTAATTGATAGGCCTTTACAGTATGTGGCCATCAAGAGTAGGTCCGGCTTACAGCAGCAGTTTTTGAACAAACATTACAAACCTTCCTTTGTAGGAGATGAGGGCTGATCTAAGCATCTTCAGGGGAACTATGATCAAGTATGCAGGGTTCCTGTAGACCTACAGGAACACATACAGGAAAAATGTATGTCCCATAACGGTCATTTTGGGAGCAAGCATTTTCATCAACTAGCGGAATGGAAATTGCAACATGGTCCATGGTCGCGATCGGCCGCTTTGGTTGTTGTGCACATGCACCTCATAACAGGCAGGCCTTGCTTCAATCATGGGTTCCCCTACTACCTCCCCCCATACTACACCCCTGGGTTCCCCCGAAATTAAAGTTATTTAGGGGTAATTAGGCTCAATTAGGGTTAGTTAAGGGGGAGCCTGGGGGGGGAGAAGGGGAACCCAGGATTCAAGGGAAGAGGATATCCCGCATACAGTACCTGTCTTATGACAGGGCCATTATAACTTCTGAAGCTTATTGTGGTCACGATAATAGGGTGGTAAAGACCTAAAGGGACTTTCTTGGCCATGTAGAAGTCCCCAAGTTCAAATACCGACTTCGTTCTCATGGATCATGTAGGTTCAGAGGGTCACAACACATGTGACGAGTCTCGAATACTGAAGGTTGTTTTAGTCATTCGGGCTTTAGGGTCATTATTATACCATATTATATCATGTAATGCCATATGATATCATAATTTATTATATTATCACCCTAAACCCTAAACCCCTACAGCCTAAACCCTAAACTGCTATCCTATATTCTCCTACATAAAATACTGTGACTCTCGGCCAGCGACCGTTTACCGGCCGTTTGCGTTGTCAGCCGAGGCCTCGCCTCACTGAAGCCGTCGGAGTCGAGGCCGGATGCTGAATCTCAAGAAGTTTGCCTGGGGTTTAGGGTTTAGGATTTAGGGTTTTAGGGTTTAGGGTTAGGGTTTAGGGATTAGGGTTTAGGGATTAGGGTTTAGGGTTTAGGGTTTAGTGTTTTAGGGTTTAGGGATTAGGGTTTAGGGATTAGGGATTAGGGTTTAGGGTTTAAGGTTTAGGCTGGAACACTGGGTAGGCCCCTGGGATATTTACTATTTTCCGGTTTTAGGGGCCAACCCGGAATCTCAAGGTAATCTGGGAGTTTCCCAAATTAGGGGTACTTTTTTGGGGGAAATATAGGAAGTAATATAGGGGTTATAGATAGGGACATGTAGGGATATATATATATATATATTTGGTTTAGAGTTTCCCAAAATTAGGGGTACCTTTTGTGTGGGGGGGTCCCCATAATACGGACTATAGTATTTTGGGGTCTATATTGGGCTCCCCATCTTTAGGGAAAGATAGCATAATAACGTGTCATATTCTCATAATCTAATGTCGTATAAAAGTATGATACGGTATAGGAATGTAGGAGCTTACAATTTTTTATCCTGCATCTATCCCAAGGGTACATGGGTGGTCGCTACAATCGGAAGCTCCTGTAGTATTGGTTGGGTACTGCCCCTGCTCTGTGAAAGTTGGATAATGTTTAGAAAATATAGTTACATATAGCCCCAAATCTGACCCCGAATATAGACTCTCACAAAGTATAGCATAATGAAGTGTAATGTAAGGTAATGTCATATAGTATAATGTAGTATGGGATGTTGTAAGAGTGTAGAAGCTTCATTTTTTCTCTGGCGGTGGCAGGGGAAGTAGTATAAGGAGAAGGAAGAGGAGGAGCGCCAGTGATGCTTGCGAAGGCAGCGGTGATGGGTTTTGCAGCGGATGTTGACAGAATCCTGATGATGGTGTGAGTTAAAACGATGCGGAGGATACAGCAATGACAGTGTCAGCGACGGTGCTATGGGTGTTGATGTCAGGATACGCTGACACAACAGCTAGGGCTTACCAGCAACCTCGCCAGATAGATGCACGGGGTTTTTCAAAAATCAGGGCTCGCTTTTGGGCTCTTTGGGGAGTCCCTGTCATAGTAAGGATCATTGTAAACCCTAAGCTCTAAACCCTTATAGGGCATGGCAGGCAGCCCACAGTTTTAAAGCACATGCAAGAAGGACCCTGCTGGAGCAACAACTGACAGGTGTGCAGCGGAGTGTTATTGATATGAGCTATAGTCTAAACTCCTGGTATCCCCCTTAATATCCCCTATAGTAGTCCCCTGTATAATTTCCTATATAACCCCCCTTTAAGGAGTTTAGACTATAGCTGATATGCGCCTTCGCTGCTTTCATGCTACCAGCTGTGATTGATTGCCTCCTGCTGCTAGAAGTATCAGTGCGCGGCCAGGTGGCTAGCCAGGGAATGGATCTGTTTAGGAATCCGGATTTAACCTGCCAATTGTAGTTCTCCCAAATATCCACTCCCTTATTCCTTACAAGGGGCCAGGAAGTTTGTGTTCAGGTAGCCGTCATGGAAGAGATGGAGTGCTGGCCCAAGAAACACCAGCCAAGATGTCAGATTTTCAGACAGATGTCAAAAAGGGAAATCTGTGGTCAACCCCAAACCTGGTCTCTAAATCCTGAAGCCTTACTGGGTGCAGGGGCTAAGGGTTCGGGTGGTTTTGCTCCGTTACGGCTGCACTGTTTGAGACTTCGGACTGCCAACAAAAATTAGGGTTCAGTGTTAGGTATTCATCCCTCGAGGGATATTTGATCCTTTTCCAAGCAATCGCTGCTGTAGTTTACAACAGCCTGTAGACTTCATATGCTTTTTGAGTCATCGCCATCCATCCATCCATCCATCCATCCATCCATCCATCCATCCATCCATCCATTCATATGTACATACGTATGTACATACATCCACACATATGTATATACATGCCTACTTGCACATGTACATCAAAATGTAGGATTTTTTGATGGTGTACAGTAGTTCGTTAGGATTGCTGGCACGAGCGGGTGCTCTCGATTTCACAGCAGAAGCATGACTGTCAGGACTTGCCCTTTGTTTCAAACCGAAAAAAACCCTTCACAGTACAGTCTGGGTTGTGCAGATAGCCTTAGAGATCAGATTCTTGAATACAGAAGCCCGCCAGAAAGGGTCCAGAACTTTGGCACACCTTTGCTTCATACCTCAAGGCTAAGCCCTACCCGCACGATCGCACTCCTCGATCCTAAACCACTAGCCCTAGACCGCAAGCCATAAAACCTAGGCCCTGAACCTGAAGCCCTAAGCACGAAGAGTCCGACAACCAAACTGAGCTAAACCTTACATCCTGAACCCTAGCCCCAAACCCCAAAACCCTACCAGGTCGCCTGGTCCCAAGCTCGCAGATAGCTCTTACACTTGCCAGCAGAGCAACAGCCTGGAGCCCAAGTCTATGAAGAGGAGGGCCTTGCGCTCTGGGTTTACTGCTTTGGATTGTAGGGAACAGTGTAGCAGGTTTGTGGTTTGACCTTGGTTGTTGGTAAGCTTATGTTGGCCTGCTTAGGAGTGTTGGTGAGTGTATGTATGGGGTGTCTTGTTGGAAGACCACGAGCCAAAATCCTATGTACACCCTTACGGCGGCGGTGGCGGTGGTGGTGGGGGCCATGGCGATGGGGTGTTCCTTCAGAACCAGAATTTCCCCAGATTCTGAGACGGCTGAACTTTACTTTGACCCAGGTTCCGACCAAGGAGGAGCAGAGGAAGGCGTTTCCCAAAGCCCTAAGCCCAAACCCCAGACACATGGGGCCCACCAAATCCCTAACACTAGGGAATGGTGGCTTGACCACCCGCAAGGCTTACTCTGACTGTTCAGGCGTTGCAGCCACCCTGCAATTGGCACAAAGGCAAACCTCGAAACCCCAAACGGAAACCAACTATCGAGGGAACCCACACTAAGCGTAAAACCTTAAAAGAAGCCCCAATCCTGGGTGCCTTACAAGGCTATTACTGCCCAGCAAGCGATTCCTGTGCTTCTTCCTGCGTACACTGTCAGGCTCTGCCCGTGGTGAAACAATTAATCCGCTCCGCCTTGGGGATTTAGAGCTCCCCAATGAAGGTTTAGGGTTTACCGCGTAGGGGTCAGAGTTATGTTAGGGATTTACCGCGTGCCTCTTTGAAAGTCCTATCCCCCAAACGGCTATTCAAAGTGGGACATGTGAGAGATGCTAGCCGAGGAGTACATATGTTTTCAACCTTGAGCAAGGTATGTTATTGGAAACTAGAGGGAAATGGGCCTTTAAGTTTGCAAGTCTGGATCATGCAGACAAGGGTGATGCAATAGCTACGTGAGGATCATACTCTGAGCATACAGATCTTGCAGAAGATGTCAGCCTAGACCCCTCACGCCATGGTCGCATACAGGACTGCCTCGGCCTCTGAAGTAAGGATCCTCTACTTTCCTGCAGCCTATAAAACCTTACATTGTAACCGTGAAGGGGCCGTGGATTTCAAGGCCGATGTTGGTACCGCAATTGAGTTTAACATTTTGACATGGCAAAAGTCGAGCTAAGGGTCTCATAGTTTTGCCTTGGTTGTTTTCAGGGTGATTAAGTTTCGTACGTTTAGCTTGTTTCATGAATTTTTGCAATGATCCACCTGTCGCCATAATTGTGCTTCCCGCACTGTTTCATGGAAGGGTCCCTGGGTTTTATGCTCACTGTTTTTTCTTACAAGGGGCCTTTGAGGTTCTGCACTTTCACCTCGAATCTTTCAAACGATGGACGGGGTACGGAAAAAAACATTTCGGACTTGCCGAAACTGGGGTTTGGAGCATACTGACGACAGCGATGCGGCGACGGCTACGACGACGACTTCGACTATGACTACTATACTGTTGGTGCTGCCGCCACCACTACACTACCACTACCACTACCCTCTAACCTGACACTTCTGTTCCCGTTGCCACTAGCCTAGCTCGAAAATAGTTTCAGCAGAGGCTGGTACAATTGATGCATGAACGGGCCCTTAACCTTCCTCCTGCCACAACCTTCCACGCTCCTGTACTGCTAGCTACTGAGCCGTTGCCAGGGCTTCACGGAACCACGTGGAAGCCGTTGCCGCGTGTTGCTGGAAAGGACGCCTCAGGCGCCAAGAAGCATTGAGGGGCTCTTCGCTATGTTTGTTGTGAGGTTTCTACCGAGGTGCCGGTGTCGGTGTAGCGGGCTTCCGCGGCATATTTGTGGAAGCATATCTGAGAAGCCTGAAACAGCTGTTACTAGGGGTTTCTCGGGCTTCTTTGTTGGCTGAGGTCCGCGCAGTATACTCTAGAGTGCCTACTGAACACGACATCGTTGAAAGTCTTGCTGCTGCAATTTGTCGAACTGTATTTATTTATAAGCTTGGTGCGGCAAGTAGTAGCTCCCAGGCGCTCTGGGTTTAGGGTTTAGCAGACCTTATGCAATCCACAGCTGGAAGCGATGTTCACGGCAGCTGCTGGGTCGTGCTAACACAAATGGTCCTTTGTTGCAACCAAATACTATGAGGCGCCTGTCGTGTCAGAGCAAAATTAAATGTGGGACTCAAGTTTGGAAACACGGTTTGTCAACAGCATGGGTCCATATTTGGGGATCGCAGCAGATTCCGTATTGCTGTCTTAACCAAGGTCCTACCACCTCACCGGGTGCGCAAACTCCTCTATTAAGACCATTCTCTGCAGCTGAAACCTTTGCGTCACCTGCAGCAAGAAAGAATGAACTGCAGACACGGTGGATCAAAAGGGTAGCTGTGGAATGCTCACTCCACTACATATGGCATGTTGCTGCGGCATTTCAATCTTGTGGTTGCCGGCTGGTTCTTGTACCAGCCGCCTCAGGGCCTAGCCGTCCGTCCTGACAAGGACCTTTCCAGTCTTTTGGTCAAGAATGATACGGAGGATCCTGAGCCCTGGAAGCCTGACGCAGATGAAGATGCAGATGATGAAATCATCATGAGCCGCCGCTACGAGGTTCAGGAAACCTTCGAGGTTCAGCAAAGCATAGCGAAGGTCCGGGACTGGTTGGACGAGAAGTCGCTGATGCCTTTTTGGCTCATGCCAATAAGCTTCAGCATCAAAATCGTCTTGACTATGGCAATTTTTGGCACCGGGATTCGAACCCAGGACGTGAAGCATGACTGGGTAAGCGGAAGCCTGCGGCTGTTTGGTCAGCTCGCGAGCCTTGCATTCCTCATCATGGCGTTGAACACTTGGCGTTGCGACCTCCTCAAAATCCTTACTGCGTACAAGGCCTTTCCCGGGGATTACAAAAAGCTTCTCCAGGTGGCTTGACCTGGATACGCTCCGGCAATTTGCTGGCCTCCATTCCAATTTCCTTGTCAGTGGTAATGTTCGGCCCCCGGGAAGTTTATGGCGTCCAGGATGCTAAATATTGGCAGAAGTTCGGATATCCTGTGGTGATCGGGGATGCAAAGTGGCTCCCATGGCACAAGCACTTATTTTTCCTCGTGCTCCTGCCTTATTTTCTACCTTTCTGGCTAATCCGCATCAGCCCTGGGCCTTGGATATCCAAAAGGATGCCAACTTGGACACTGGCTGGGATGACCTTCACGGTCTTCATCCTTGTCATCCACATTGCGATCCTTCCGAAAGTGTTGAGTTTCCTCCTCTGGGTTGTCCTGACCAGTGTCACAGCGGGCTTCTGGGAGCATGCCAAGAAGGAAGTCACAATGTGTTGGGCAGGCGGCATCAAATCACTCCTCTTTTTGTTGATCGTACTCTACATGAACAAGCTTGTGGTTCTCGCAGCCCCAGTTCTCCTCACTATACCATGGCTCCTGAAAGGATGCTCTGCTGAATTAGTCCCTTTGTGCCGTGTCCTGCATTGAGGATGTTTTCAGTCTTTGCTGTTGGGAACTTCCAGCCTAGGTCGAAAGGAATACAGGCGGAAGATTGACGCCTTGCGGTCCAGGTTCAGGGTCGTTGCCTGGCGCGACAATGCATGGGGCCGTGCTGGTTTTCAGGAGTACTTCAGCGTTCTCGTGCAGCATGAGGCTGCGTGCTTGCGATGTTTTCAAGAGTTAGATGCTGACTTCAAGGATTCCAACTCAGTGCCTAAGAGAAATGAGAGATACGAAGACTGGAAAGCCATGTTGCCGGACTCGGATGACATGGAATCTGATTCGGATGAGGACAGACACAAGTACAGGAATCTGACCAAACGGAGCGCGTGGAGCAACAGAAGCGAGAGAGGTCTGCATACATTGTGGGGATAGCCATCGCAACGCAGCAGCTGGACATGATGTGCAGCACCGTCATTACCATCCAGCTCATGCTCATTATGCTCGTACGGTGGTCTGTTGAGAACGAGTCTTTCCTCACCTCCTTCGCACACACGATGGGTTGCAGGACAGTTACTGATTATGTCGGACATCTACAACACCAGGCCCAGGCGGCCTCGCAAGAGACCTTCCCCGAAATGATGGACAAATTGTGGCTCCTCCTGTGATGTTATGCGCGGCGGCGGAGCACACTTGGCACCCCACAAGCGGCTCTTGAGGTCAAGGCCGTTTGCGAGCCTTGAAGAAAAAAGATGCCGCGAGGGCGGAGCAATCTAGACTCTTCAGCTCGAGTACGAAGCCCGCAAGTGACATTCCATGTGAGGCCTTTTGGAGGTGCTGCAGAGATGCCAAAGGAACCCTCGTGCGCACATGAAGCATCACAAAGCTGGCGGGTATGTTTTTGGGGAGGTGTCGTGGGGGCCCTCAAGCTCGGGTAGGAGAAGAAAAGGCTACCTTGTCAATTGAACTTCCTGGTGAGGCAGCTGCCACGGAAGACCAGGTGGAAGGAGATTTCCTTGATGAGGACATGCGGGGATGGCATTGCTGGTCAGCTGCTCTTGGTACTGATATTTTTCAACGTGTTGCCATCGTTTGTAGGGCTTGGTTTTCTTGCGTGATGACTGCACTCAAGCTATGTATGTGCGCTCACATCCGCTTTTGCTGCTTTCTGGCAAACTTAGACGCATGATAATTTGGAAGGAGTTTCTTGCCCTGTTCAGAGCAAAAGGATTCAAGGTTCCCAAAGCAAGGAAACCTCGCCAAGAGGCTTGGCACCAGCTTTGCCACATCCTGTGTGTGTGTGTGTGTGTGTGTGTGCTGTATGTTGCCCATGTTGCCCCTTCGACCACTTTCTGGGCCTGTGGAAGAAGTTCTACCCCTTCAAAACCGCTAAAGGGTAGAGTTGCGCATACCAGCACCCAGACATGTGGGTCACCTAGCTGCTGTTTGGTAGGGCGCTAAAGAAAGCAGCAGCAGCAGCAGCAGCAGCAGCAGCAGCAGCAGCAGCAGCGGTCGCATGTAGATGCAAGGCCAGAATGCGGCAGCCCTTCACCCGCTCGACAGCCATGCCAAAGGCTGAACCTCAAACCCTCAGTTGCTGTGATATTCAATCGGTAAACCTACCCTAATGTTAAACACCCCGTAGAGCGCTACAGAGATGACTGTCCTGTTCAGAGACGGCTATCCGAGATACCACATCAGTCGGGCAGGGGTGAATCTCCCATGGCTGGATATAATGGAAACAACAATACTTGCTGTAGTAATGCCACGAATAGTTGTAAGAGCCGTAGTAATAAAGATAGTAAAGCAGAATAGTGAGAATAGCAATAATATTAATAAAGGTAGTAGTATTAATACCAGCAACAGTCCATGGCAGGATATGGAGCCTCAGGAGATTGGTGGGCTTTTCCAGTGGACGCACCGACCGGAACTTCTCGCAGCAGAGGCGAGGACGGAAAATTATATGGTATTTGCGGAGTCGTAGACATTTCGCAGGGACAGTGGTGACTTCTTGAGTTTTCGGCCGCGTGTTGGATTCTAGATCCATTTCTCAAAGTCGTGGGTTCTTTTGTGGCATTTGTGCGTGTCCATGTATTTTGGAGTACAAGGGCCACCTAGAACCGAGAAATCCTGAGGCTGGGAGTGTCTTTGGTTTCAAACACGCGGCCTGTATCTAGTATCAGCAGTTCTGCCTCCAGGCCATGTACTGTCAGCAAGTCTGTTAATGCTGTGGGTTCCAAAGGGCGATGCTCATAATAGCCCCCTATCGACAGCCCACGTTGACGGTTGCAGGCTATGATCATAGGTGCTTGGGAAGTCCCGGTTGGGAGGGCCGTTTGTCAACAGCATTTCTGGCACCGAAGGCCTTTGCTCTTTGCTGGGCGAAGCCGGTTGCCCCCGCCAAGGACACGCGACCTACTGGTGGGTAGTAGCAAGGAGATGAATGATCCCTAAATTAAAGCAGTGCCTGCATCCTGAATTCCCCAATCATGATTCCCAGATTAGAGGCCTTCATTCTCTACTACGCGCCAAGTACGACAAAGGGCCATGTCAGATGCAACAAGCACTTCTTCGTTCTGTGGCTGCCTACAGTAAGCTCTTCCATTCCTTTCTGCCCATCTCGACGGCGAGGAGAACGGAAATTTTCGTCATGCAGCAGATGCTCGGCTGGTAGCGCCGGGCACCCAAGATTTCGAGCGAAGACTGAAGGGAGGGTGACAGCTTCTCAAAAATGATAAGTCAAGTTTGTTAATTATCAATTCCAGCACAGGGGTGCATATTATAGGCCTTGTTTTGAGCTTTGCTAGGCTAGGCCCTTCTCAATAGTATCTCCTCTGCAGCCACAACTTTCAGCTTGACAGTTGTAAAGCGTGGGCGCATCTTAAGCCTGGCCATCCGTGCCTGCAGTGAGGATCATGCTAGTTTGGGTTGGTGTGGATGCAGAAGCCAAAATTGCGATATCCGTATTCATGGAGCTGTTTCTGCCATCATCCTGAGACATCCCAGAGCGCCAAACCTCCAGGCCCACACCCTGAAGCAGCACTCAAGCGGTAGACACCGAAGTCTTCAACCGAGCATGCTTACACATCATAGGCCCCAAAGCCACCAAAGGCTTTGTGTGCGTTTGCCTAATACTAAGATGTTTCCGAAAACTTCAAACTCGTAGCGCTAAACTGGCCCATCAGGTCGAAAACCATGTATACGAAACCCATCATATCGCATGGGCCAGCCCTAAACCCTAAACCCTACACGCGAAAAACTCCTAATCCCAGTAAAGTAGTCAGGTGGGAAAGGCAGGATGCGGACCTTTCACCTCAACTGGCCGTCCCGCCCTGGGCTCAAGAAGCAAGGCTTTGGGACGGCTGCAGGGTTTAAGGTTTAGGGGTTAGTTGTTGAGGTCTAGGGTTTAGGGTTTAAGGTTTAAGGTTAGAGTTGAGGGTTGAAGGTCTAGGGTTTAGGGTTCAAGGTTTGGGATTTCAGGTTTGGGGTTTAAGAGTTCGGGGTTGAGGGTCTAGGATTTAAGGTTTCGGGTCTTTGGCTTAGGATTTCAGACCAGTAATTCTGCGCTTTGGGTCAAAGAGTTTAGGGTATAAATTTTAGGTTCAGCATTGAAAGTTTCGGGTCTGGGATTTATGGTTTAGGATTGTTACGGATTTGGGGTGAGGGGCGGGGTTTCGGACAAGGTTTGAAGATGGGGTATTAGGTTATGGTTTTCAGTTTGAGGTTTGGGCTCTATGGCGGTATAGCTCTATGGCAATTGCTGGTGCAAAGTTTCGCAAAAAAAGAAGCATCGCCATTGCAACAGCAGTAGCATTGGCCCTGTAGTGGTACAGCAGTCTGCTGCCCGTAGTGGTGGGTGGTGGCGGGGCGGCAGCGGTGGCGGTGGCGATGATTTCATACTGCTGCTACTACTGCCACAACCCACCACCACCGCCACCGCCAC